GGTTTCTGTATATAAGCTTTTGATTTCTGTACATAAGCTTTTGATTTCGGTAAGTGCCGATAACATTGAAATCAAAAGCTTATGTACCGAGATCAAAAACTTATCGAATTCAGCAGAATTAATTTTGGCCAAATTTTTATTACTTGTCCCAGAATTTATGAGAAAAGTTGTAATATAAAAAATTTAGTAATGCTGAAATGTTTGCGAAAACACTTTTTTTCAAAAATAATTTAGGCACACATGTATAATCACAAGATCTTTGTATTCAAACATAATATTGTAATAGACAAATATTTTAAATCGATAATATTCAAACATAAATAAGTCGTAACCCTGTTATACAAATCAACTGATTTTTATACCATTCGATTCGCCTCGAAGAGGCGAATCGAATGATATAAAAATCGTTTGATTTAGATCTTTGGTTCACGAGATATTATAAACTCACCACAATATAATATCAGCGCGCTATAATACCTTCTCACTTTCGCAGTATTTAAATAGCAACAACTCGTAACCTATCAATCTAAATTTAATGATTTTAATACGATTCGATTTGTCTCTTCGAAATGAATTGAATGGTATAAAAATCATTCAATTCCGATTGATAGATCATGAGCCTAAAGAACTTAAAGAAGAAACACGAAAGTTAGTACCAAGGACTAAACGAAGCAAAAAAAAAAACTGAACTACGACACTAGTGTAAAAGATACACAACATCAATGATGAAAAGCGCTGAAATCCGAAACTGTTATATAAAGAATTTAGAAAAGAAGAAACGCGAAAGTAGTGCTAATAACCAAATAAAAAAAAGACAACGACACCGGACTAACAATGCCAGCAACAAATGATATACCAAAATGAATGACACCAACAACAAAAGCAAGACAAAAGCACCAACTAACGACAACACGACAAACACTAGCGACGGAAAGATTGAAATCCAAAACTGCAGAACCTAAAGAAAAAAGAAAAAAAGAAATGTAGTAAAAAAGAAAAAATAATTTATGTAACTAGTAATGGTTACCGTTACTGTTTGAAAATTAATATTAATAATCAGTAGCTTCACATTATGACGAAATTAATATGTAATTAGTAAGTCAGTTTGCATCATAATGACATATTGCGTGTCTGTGATCATATGGTATGCAAAAATCTTAACTCCTTCCAAAAACAAATAAACGAAATTCAGTACGTCTAATAAAAATGGATTTTGCAAAAATCAGCATAAGCAACATCAAAAAAGTTGAAGGAAACCATTCCTACCACATTTCATGTTACACAAGAAATGTGATCATACTGGTATAATGATTTACAGGTTTTCCCTTTTTGTCACTCATATAATTATAATTTTTACCATAACTTGATGTAAAAAATTTTATTATAGAACTTACTTGCTATCCGGTGACTACAATATATAATTAAGGTTGAGTTTGTTGTATTAGATTATTTCTATTTTGGTTCAGAATTTACTTGATAA